ATCATATTGATAAACATGTAGGAAACATAACTTTTATATAATATGAAGTTTATTACAAGAAAAACTTACAATGTTTATTGCATAGTTTGAAGAATTAAAAGAAACTAGATTACCCATGACCTATTGGGTCACTGACTGTTCAGGTTATATAACACTGAAGTTGATTTCAACATTAAAATATTGTCTGTTTGAAGAAAGTTGAAATAAAAAATACTTACTGTATAAACAACAACTATTTTTAAATCTTATTCACTTAAAATATTTTTAAATCACATTAACTTAAAATATATTTTTAATATCATATTCAGTTGAAAATATTTTTTAAATATAGCAAAAAAATATATTTAAATATTTAAAATATTTTATGTTTAAAGAAAGCTGAAATATAAATATGCATGCACGAAATCTCAAAGGTGGAAAGAAAGAAGTGAAAAGTGAGAGAGGTGAAAAGAAGCTTAAATCCTTATTCATACCATTTCCCTCTCTCCCTCTTCCTACATGATAATGAATTTACATCTTTCTTTCCCCTACTCTCTGTATATGACTTTGTGTGCACAGTGGAAAATACACAAGCAAGCAAACAAAGTTAACAGAGTTTTAGTATTATAAATATAATTCAAATTCTAAAATTTCTCCCCTGTTCTTGCTGCTTTATGGCCATCTTTTCTCTCTGAGGAATTAACGATTGAAAGGATATGGATAAAATCCAGAAAGTTCTTTCTATTGGGAATAATTTGCAAAGGCCAAGAGCTATGAGAGTGCCAATAATGACAGTATTGGGAATCTTGTAGCATCAGATTTAAAATATTCCTCATGTTTAGGATAAGATGTGACAATCATTTGTAATGGATTGTGTTGCATGACCATCACTAATAATGTTCCTCATTGGCATTTTTTTATAGATCTCTTATTGCATCAGTTTTACAGATTAATGTCTTCATCTTTGCTGTTTTCAGCCAATGATTTCTTTGACCATCTCAAGCATATGTCACAAATGCAAAATATAAACAAAATATATAAAAAATCCTTTTTCTCTCTTGTCTGCATCACAAGAACATCGCATTTACATTATTTACATCTTTGTTGCCATATTCATGACATTTCAGCTGTTGTACACTCTGACCTTCTTCAGGTGATTGGAATTTCAAACTGAACCCTTTATTTTGTCCACTGAGGTAGATTGTTCTAGTTTCACATGCCATGCCTCTTCCTCTTATCTCAGTTTCAGTTATTTCCCTTAGTAACTCAACACTCCAACTGTCCTAGGTAAGATGTTAAACTACATCCGCGTACTGGGTAAGACAATAAACTACATCCAGCAGCAAAGCCTCTGATCAGGATGTTTTGAGGAGCATGGAACTACCTCTTAATTGCTGGTGTTCCCAGGTCCACCCTGACCCAGAGTGATAGCACCTGCTAGGGACCCAGCTATGGGCAAATAGTTAACTATTACCAGCAATACTTTTTCTGAAAAAAATTATTACCAGCAATACAATTTTGAAGGAAAAGTATTACCAGAAACAGATTTTTGACAAAACAAAATATTACCAGCAATAAAAAAAATGTTGTCAGCATTAAATAACCCATTGAGGTTGATATGCTGAAAAACAAAATAAACCAAACCAATCTAAACCAAAGAATACATATTCTATTCATACAAATCTTTCCTAAAAATGTTGTCAGCATTAAATAACCCATTGAGGTTGATATGCTGTAAAGCAAAATAAACCAAACCATCAATACTCCAAGTTTTTGTTCACCTCTGCTGTGGCCAGGGATTGAACTCACAACTCTTTTTAGTCAAGTCCCTGGATTACTTCAACCAATGCTTTTTATCCATTGGGTCATACAACAGCCAAAAGGGTGTGAATATGACAACAAAGATGGGGAGAACAGTCCAAACAATGCAAATAGTTACAATGTCTCATCTTAAAAATATAGACAGAGAACATCACATTTTAACACATTTCTAGATTAATATCTAATATACCGATTGAGCCACAGAGGAGCGTTTCGGTTAGCAAGGTCGATTTTACTGTTTTTAAACTACAATTCTCCATGATTCTCTCACGTACATTCATATCTGCTCAATGTGTATCCAAATGTAAACAAATCAAAATTGATGAAAGCACGTCAGGCTATATGATGGTTCCGTTGGGCACCTCGGTGTGGTATTAGCAAGCTTGTCTCGCTAGATCAGTTACAACTGAAAAGTGAGTTTGATCCTCACTAGATGCCCCATACTTTCGGCCTTGTGCCACATCTAAGCTATGCTTGGAAAATAACTATGATGGTTCCATATAGGATACAGGTTCAATTTCTGTCGCAGGATGCATATTTTCTATGACAATTTCTCGGACATTCAGACCAGTAAATGTTGTTAATACTGTTTATTATAAACAGAGCATTTACTTAAATATTTGTATCTATAAAAAAGAATGTATAAACATAAAAATGTCTTAAAATAATTGTCAGACTTTGTCCACTTCATAATGTGTGAAACACACACACACACACACACACACATATTTTCATTCAATGACAGACCTGGAAATATTTCTACAAATTTTATTATAATAAAAGCTTTAAAAATGAATTGTATTTATTAAAGAATAATTTCCAAAAAGTTCAATAAACTCTTACTGATTTTTAGGATTTAAATTTTTTTTTTTTTTTTTAACTTCAACTTTGATTTTATTGCACAACCCAAGTTAAGGATTGTCCAGTCAGTAGGTGGGGAATTGTTTTATTTCAAACTCTGTCAAATTGTATGCATATGAATGTGCTTGTATGTATATCAAATGACACAAATAAAACAGAAATTAAATATTTGTGTGAAATGATTTTTCTCCATCATTAGGACTTCATGTGTTTATACACATGCATACATATATTTTTTTTTAATCATTTCACTCCAAAATAAGTGATAAAATACTAATACACAAGGGGTTACTGAGTGTGAACGAATATATGAAAAGAAAAACATTATTGAGGAGAGAGAACAGTAAAGTGACAAGAATTAAGAAGAGACGATAACACTTGACATTGGATTTAAATTTTTGAACATTAAAGTTGAGTGTGTGGAATCTTCCACAACAAGTCAGTTAACCCCTGCTAGGAAATGCACTATTCCTGTTGTGATTTTCACCATCACAATCTTAAAAAATATATAAAAAGCATTCATTGGTTAATCACCTTCAATCTAGCTTGCTGATTGGTCAGTTCCGACCAATCAAACTGCCTGCACTTGACAAATGTTTTCTCACGTTTTTGTTCTGAACCTCCCACGTGATACACAAGCTTATAAAAACAGAACACGTGTAAGCTCCCTCGTGTTTCTTTTCATTCATCTTTCTCCTTGCTGCCAATATGTAATCTTCAAGAACTCCCGTCTTGACATGCAGTCAGACGTTAAAGACCATTACCAACATTCATGCAAGTACAAACTCTGAAATCTCTTCTGAACTTTTACCACCTTTATAACTCACAATTCCAAACATGCTAAAGGAACTTTATTCTTCTAAACTACAGTTTAATAATTACTTCTTCTTTATGAGCTCAGGTACAAATATTTCCAAGTCTAAGAGACATAACTCACACCTTCAGCTCTTATGCTTGTACACCAATAAATTCAATTGTTATGTTTTGAAATCATTCCGTTTCTGTTTTGTATTTTATACTGTGCTATTTACATCAAATATAAATTGCATTGTGTCCATGCATTGTCCTTAATCCCACCTTTCTTAGCCAAAGTTAAATATTGGTAACACTGTTGCTACACCTGTAAGTGAAATAAAAGAAACTGTTAGCATAGAAATTACGGTTACACCTAGCCATTTCAACTGTAAAATGATGAGATCTTGTCACCTATTTAGTACTACAATTACATTCATAAAGCCCTATGTACCATAGAGGTATGTTTATCAGAAGAGTTACCATGAAAGAATTTATAGAAAATGTGCAAGAATGCTAAGTTATGGTAGTGTGAAAGTCAATTATATTATTTACAGTTGAACCAATGTCCTCATTTTTCTTGATACTTTCGCAACATTTTGGCGCTTGTATCTTCCGGATTTCTTCAGGTAATCTGTCAATATTGGTGACCTTCAAGGAATTTCGAACTGAACCCTTTATTTAACCTTTTAGTGCTTGAAAATGGTTGCAAAATTTGACAAAAATCCATGTTAATTGATAAGTTATAAATTGTATTTTAACATGATGTGTAAGCACATATTGTATTTTACTCTTTTCCATTATAAAATCAAATCAAAATTAATGTTCAGCTGGTTTTTAAAAAAACACTGTCTTAAAACATATTCCACATTAAATAATGGTAAAGGTAATATTAGCCATTTCCTGATAAGGAAACATTTGACATTCATTGACCAAGTATCTAGTGCTATTTCAGTTATATTATCTACACCTGTTAGCCATTAGGCTGGAGTCAATCTGTAATATCTGTTCTTCTCATCTCTAATGGTAACATTAATATTAGTAATTTCCTTAAAAGGAAACATTCAACATACATTGAAGGAACAACCAAATGCTACATTTAGTTAAAATTTATAAAATCTTTCTATTAAAATGTGTTTTTAAGTCCAATAATTTTAATTGTTCGTTCCAGTATTGATGGTGGTCTTCTTTCCTAACCTTTTGTTTGAAGTAGTGTGGAACATCAAAATCTTGATTATATTATATAAAGATCCTGGCAGTTGCAGCCTGAGAAGCTGGAAGGCAAACGTTGACTTTCAAAGTAGATGCTGTTTGTTTTTGCTTTAATTCCTTCAATCTTCTATATATAAAACATATATATTTGGCACCTCAAGGTCGTGTAATGGTTAACAAGCTTGCCTCATTAGAACAATTACAACTGAGTAGTGAGTTTGATCCTCACTGGGTGCCCTATACTTTCGGCCTTGTGCCACATCCAAGCTGCACTTGGAAAATCGCTATATATATATATCCTTGTTTTTAAACTATTTTTTCTTTAATCTTTTCAGCAAAACCTTACAGATTGCCAAACAGCTCTCTGATAAAGTTTTGGAAGCTCAAGCCTGTTACAGTCTGGGAAATACCTACACCTTGTTACGGGATCATGAGAAAGCTATTGAATATCACCTTCGCCACTTGGAAATTGCACAGCAGTTGGCAGACAGGGTGGGAGAGGGCCGTGCCTGTTGGAGTCTGGGTAATGCTTATACAGCACTTGGCAGCCATGAAAAGGCATTGCAATTTGCCAAGAAACACCTGGAGATCTCCAAAGAAGTGAGTTTTATTTTTTGCTTTTTTTCTACTTTTTTTTTTTTAATTTTCTGTCTTCTTTCCAATATTATTTGTTTTTCTTTTGTAAACAAACAAAGAATACATTCCTACACTCAGTTTCAAGAAGGCCATCTTGTTTCTAATAATGTTACTATTTCTGTCCCATAATAGTTGTTACAGTTAGTGTATGAAATATACACGTAACAATCATCATGAGACAGATGTACGAAAGTAACACTTTGACTGCCAAAAGGTCAATTACGAAAATTCAATAAAACACTTAGACAATAAAATAATTTAGGAGTTGATTTATTGCTTCAACTGAATTAAGTCTTAGCATTGTCGTTATCCTAAATATATCACTGGGAATATATATATATATATATATATATATATATATATATATATTGTTATGGAGTAGTTTCACAGTGGAGGCTTGTATTTGTACTAAGTCGGTCCTAAAATAGGTTCGACGTACAAAACGTTAGGAACTTGATATAATAGGTAATGATGCAGAGAAATCTAGTTGTGGTTGCTGATACTTTAGTATCCGACTAACAGTCATCTGGCATCAACTGACTGACCGAACCACTGAGCGATTGCCTCATTACTCTTACTACTGCTACTTATTATAGGTGGGAGAGTCTATTAACTATAGAATAGGTGTGTTCAACTATAACATATATTTCTGTCTTCTTTCCAATATTATTTGTTTTTCTTTTGTAAACAAAGAATGCATTCCTACATTCAGTGTCAAGAGGGCCATCTTGTTTCTAATAATGTTACTGTTTCTGTCCCATAATAGTTGTTACGGTTAGTGTATGAAATATATATGTACATGGAATAATCATTATGGGACAGATGTATGAAATTAACATGTTGACAATTACAAAGTCTAACTTCAAACGCCAACTTTATAACTAACTTAGCAATACATTTTTTTTATAAGCTGATTTATAACTTTGACTGAAGTCTTAACATTGTTTTTATATTAAAAAGTATCATTGCAAATAAACTTGTTGGCATCCACAGATTAAAATATATCAAATAACACCAAGCACAAGATAACGCATAGTCAGCTTCATAATAAAAACTGCCAGCCATGAGATAATTTGTCAATGTGTTAATATAAACATAAGAAAAGGAGTAAATAGATAATTAAAATTATATAAAATCCTACCTCTGTCCCATAATGGATGCTACATTAAGTGTATGAAATATATATGCAAAAGGAGCAATCATTATGGGACAGATGTAAAAAATTAATACGAGCAGAAAAAGAGTAAATAATATAAAATCCTACCACTGTCCCATAATAGATAGTACATTTAATGTATGAAATATATATATACAAATGTAACAATCTGATATGTCCCGGAAAGGAATATATTTAATCGAAGTAGCTAAGTAGTTTTGGCTACTATAACCAAGTAGAATACGGTAGCAGTAATCGACTGGTACGCGTCGTAGTTGCAGGTAAGAAGTGTAGATCAATGGTGTAGTCCAATGGATGTCGTTATAGACTTAGCTCTTAGACTAAGGCTTTTGACTCTCCTACACGTCCGTCGGTATTTATGACGGACACCAGCCAATCATATTCCAGTGAGGGAAACACAGGTGTATGCATATTCCATTATATCACAATCATTATCAAACAAATGTACAAAATTAATTTAAACAGAAGCTAAAGATTAAATAGCTAAATAAAATCATGTAAAATCTTAACTCTATTCCATAATAGTTCTTACATTCTTTGTATACAATATATATATATATATATATGTGTGTGTGTGTGTGCAAACTGAACAGTCATTATGGGACAGGGGTAAGAAATTAATATAAAAAAAAAGAAAAAATTTAATAGATAAAAACAATATATAAAATCTGTCCTATAATATTTGTTACATTAATGTATAAAAAAAAATATATGCAAATGGCACAATCATTATGGGACAAAGTTAAGAAATTAATACAAACAGTACGTCCTGGGTATGACAAACTACATCCGTGTCCAGGATAAGAAGATAAACTATGTCCAACAGCAAGGCCTTTGATCAGGAGGCTTTGAGGAGTGTAGAACCACTTCTTAATTGCTGGTGTTTCGAGGTCCACCTTGAACCAGGGTGGTAGCACCTGTTAGGATCCCAGCTATGTGCAAATAGTTAACTCAGAAACTGAGGTAAAAGGCATTGTAAAAGTGTAAAAATAGGTTTTAATATCAGAAATACTTTGTAAAAAATTATTACCAGAAATAAATTTTTGAAAAAAAATATTACCAGCTATACGTTTTTGGAAAAATAATATTACCAGCTATATATTTTTGAGGAAAAAATATTAACAGAAATAGATTTTTGACAAAATAAAAATATTACCAGGAAAAAAAAAGTTGTTAGCATTAAATGACCCATTGAGGTTGATATGCCATAAAACAAAACAAACAAATAAACATAATACAAACAGAAAGAAAATAATACATTTAATAAATGTCCCTTAATATTTCTTACATTTAATGTATGAAATATATATGCAAATGGAACAGTTGTTATGGGACAGTGGTCAAAAATTAATACAAAACAGTTGTTATGGGACAAAGTTAAGAAATTAATACAAACAGAAAAAAAATAATAAATTTAATGTTTCTTAATATTTGTACTTAGTATATAAAATATATATGCAAATAAAACAATTATTATGGAACAGTGGTCAAAAATTAATACAAAAGAAAAAAAAATTTTTAAAAAAGCTCTAGCCTTTATCCCATAATAGTTATTGCATTTAGACCTTTGTCCTGAAATATATTTTACATTTGTAATAAATAAAACTCAATGAAAATGAAATAATTTATCAGTTCAGTGCCTGAAACCATTAATTTTGAGAAATTTAAATAATTTACATTTAAATACTTTTGGCATTTAACATAGCATGAAGCTTACACTTAATGTTGTTTTGTAGCCAATTTCCCCCTCAAAGATTTTTTCATTCCCCTGTCTCATTGCAGAGGAATTATTTCAATTTGACAAGATGATATCCTGCTTTACATGTTCTTAAATCTCCAATAGTTCATTTTTCTCTGCCAAAATATATAAGCACAACATGTGTATAAAGGTTTTCTGGTTACAGTTAAGGTTCACAAAATCAAAGACAAGAACTGACACACTTGAAGAAGAGAAATAACATAACTGTATTAAATTTGATGGGTTCAATGTACAGAAAAGGGTATATGCACAATAGGTAAAAAGAAGGCTTACAAATATGATTTATATTTGTGGACTTAACTGTTAGGAGAGTGCCCAAGTAACAAGTGGCTTTGCAGATTCTGTATTCCATTAACATCAGAATGGACAGCTCCCTAAACGTGTGGTGACTATGACAGTTGCAAAAGAGAAGATTTCAGAATTGAGTTTACCGCATGGCCTTCAACAAAGGTCCTGATTGGACAGCATTTAGCCAATCAGAGTCCTGGATTAGTAAGGGTTTCAAGTTCAAAGTTGATCTTTGAATAGAAAGGGGTGAGCTCCCTTTACTATCCTTTTCAAATTCTTGTAGGTGCAATTTTTTAAATTTCAGATTTTGTTTGCATTCAAACACTTCACATAGTTTCAAGTTTAAACTTAAAGCAAAGTATTTACTCGAACATTAACATAACCTTTAGTAAATATTGACAATAATTTTTTATAAATATGGCTAAATTTTGTTTGTATGTCCCCACCATACATCAACAGGTTAGTCCAAGTCAAGGCACCAAGGAGGGACAATCATAACTATTTGTTGTAAGATGAGATATTGAACAAAGACTATAAAAGAAATATTCTAAAAAATGTATTATTTAAAGAATTCAAAATTGTATTAATGACTCACCTATTTTGTTTCTCTTTTCAGATTGGTGACAAAAGTGGCCAAATTTCTGCCCAGATGCACTTGGCTGATTTACGTAGCCTGCTTGGTATTGTAGACAACAATAAATCCTCATCTAAAGAACTAAAGTGAGTTAGATTTTGTTCTTAAACATAAATCACACTTCATTAATACAAAGCATTTTTAAGAAAATGTTGGAAATATTTGCAGCATTAAAAAATTTGGAACATTTAGCAAAAAAGTTTTTAATAATATTGTTACCGTGTTCAATTTGTAGTTTTTTTTGTTTTTGTTTTTTAATCACTTCACCCTAAGCAAGGTGATAATGACACTAAGATGCAAGGGTCTACTGGGCATGAAAGAGAATGAGAAGACTTTAGAAGGAACTGGAAACCAAATCTTAAACAAGGTACAAGGATAAATGTTTACTCCCGTCCCAGGGGGTGTGTGAATCAGGCGATAGGTGAACTTGTCTCATCCTATTGTAAAAAAAATAAATAGTAAATAAAATTTCAGAGTTTAGGTGGCGACATTAGAAGTATAAAGTTGAAGGAACTGGAAACCAAATCCTAAACAGGAAACATGGGGCAAACCTCTGTTCTGGTTCAAAAGACTGGGGAGGTGTGTAAACTAGTTAATAGATGAATATATCGACTCCTGTTGAGTAAAAAACAAAAATAACAAATAGTAAATATCAATCATGGCTGAAAATATGAATTTTTTTTTCTTTTTTATGAAATTGAGGCAGCTCTATCCTTTTTAATAGCAATGTATGCTAGGATTGTCTCCATTGGCTGATATTATCAGGAAGTCCTTGCTTTGAAGGAAAAAAGCACTCTTATATGTGGCCACTAAAAAAACTATTAAAATTTTTTTTTTTTTTTAAACCTAGTCATGTTCTTAAATAGTTTCATCAGATGAGTACTTTCACATGGATGCTATACTCATTCAGGAATATCTAAACTGTCAGCTGTATACAACCGCTTTCCCATATCAATGGTTAAAAATCACTTTGAGCGAATGAAGTGTGTAGGTTTCATCCCTCTTTGAACCTTGTGGACTAGCACTGCACAATCACAAACAACTGTACCAACTAAAAGCATTCATGTCACTTGAAGACTTCCAGCAGTGGCAACAACTAAAATGGATAGCACATGTAATTTAAAGAGAAAGCAATGATACACTTGGCTGACTTATGTAGTGACATGTAAATAAAATAATGATATAACCAAGATGCTGATATTCCATATTACCTCAAACAAAAGGCAAAGAAGGAAACCCCTATCAGTACTGGAAAGAGCAATAACAGCTACTGGACTTGAGAAACCTATTTTCTTGAATGATTGTTATAAGAGAAGGATAAATTTCAACTGAATTGTTCCTTCAAAAGAAACGGCTAATATTACCATTACCAAATGTGAATGAAGAATACAGTTCTAAAGAAAATTCTCTCAAGATATATTTATTTCTCTTCAGAATTCTTTAATATCAAGTTTTAATAACAAAAACAGTTTTTGTTTGTATTTTCTTTTTGTAGGTGAATTTTTGTTACTATCCACTGATTTACTCGGATAGTTATATTCATCTTGATTTTTATCATGTTTCAAGCATTGTAAACCTCCAATCCTTCTTCAGGGATCTGTTGTAAGTGACAAGGAATTTCTAACTGAATCTTCTTTATTCACTCCTCAAGCATAGACAGCAAAATAAGTACAGTTTACATCTGTAGATTGAATAAAAGTTTGACTTGACATGAGAAGAAGGCTGGAGGTTACGACGGCAAAAACATTCTGGTGACGATGATGGTAGCTAAGAAGAGGATATTAACCAAAATAAATCATCATCATTATAATTCTGCATATTCCTTCCCTTGCATATCTGTTACACCCTGCCATTACCTCAGATAAATAATAGACCATTCTGTTTTGATTCTGAGGAAAAAGAACATTAGGAAAAGATATCAAAAAGGCTGTCTGCTTTAACTGAGAAAAAGAAAGGATATATATTAATAAAAAAGAAGAAAAAGAAAGAAAAAATAAAAGTAATGTAATCAAGCACTTAACAATTTCAGACAATTGTCAGTTTTGAATCTTTTATTTGTATCCTCTTACTTCTTTAAGTAATGACCAGCATTCATACTTATGATTTTTATTGTAATATTTGGTTAAAGTTGTTAAGCTCATTTACTTAACAATGCAATAAGGGAATTTTCAGTTATTTTATAATCATGGAAATTGCAAAGAATATATTCAGTTATTAAATTAGGAAATATTACTTGTCAGCAAATTCAAAGCAAGAAAAACATGAAATTTTCCCAGGTGTAGCTAATTGTATAACAATTATAATAGTGAGACTTAACCTACCTGTCTGAGATTCTGTTATGTCATTACAGTCGATAAATTTTATTCAGAAAATTAATATTCCTTATTTGCAAGCAAAATAGAGTGTGAACTCAAAATTAGAATTGCCTTTTGTTTCAATTTCAGTAAAAAACCTGAGAGAAATGGTTTATCTGATGCAGATTCAGATGGAGACAAAGACGAAGGTAAGTTTATAACAACATTCTTTCATATTTTCATAGCCTATTTTTTTTCCTAATTACTTTGTCTTAATTATTTATTACATGCTTCATTATTCTGACTAACATCCTGATCTTGGCTGTTAACCTCATAACATTTCAAATATTTTACCCTCCAGCTTTTTCAAGTGTCTTTTGTGAAGCTCTATGACCATCTCAGAATTTTGAACTGAAATTCTATGGGCCCACCTCCTTTCAGGACGTTGGCGATCATGGCTCAACACAATTTCTTCTCCTTTGTAGCTCTTAATAAATTTTGTCTTCTCATATAAACCATGTTCAGCCATCCATTTGCACAAGCTTGTTAGGTATGTTATGAGCTGTTTTCCTCTGTCCCTCTTAACTTCAGTATGTCCCGTGAGTGTCAAATTTTCTAAGCCCTCTTTCCTCATTATGTGCTCTAGAAATTTCAAATTTTACTTTCTAAGTATAATTTTCTTTTTAGTTTTCATTTTCTCTAAAACTTTGTCATTGTTCACATGCTCAGTCCATGTTATTCTCAGCATCCTTCTGTAGAACCACATTTTTGCTGCCTCGAGTTTCTTCTTCACCTGTGATAAGATTGTCCAACTTTCATGGACATATAGGAGGACTGATATTACATAACAGTTCAGTACTCTTTTCTTTGTTTCTAACAAAATTTTTCTATTAATATTTGCTTAGCTTTTGAAAGGCTACCACAATATATATATATATATATATATATATATATATATATATATATATATATATACATAGAGAGAGAGAGAGAGAGATATAAGCCACCCTGATAAAAACATTAGGCTTGGAATATATGTATCATTTCTCCTTGATTTCAGAACGCTATAAATTATACTAAGGCTGCTTAACAAGTCAAATTCATGTGAATCAGCGTTAGCCAATGAAAAGCAAACAATACCAGAATCTCTTTTTTTTCTCCATATGTCATTCTCTGATGAAGCTTTAATAAAAGTGAAACATGTTAGATTGATAAACATCTACTATTTCTTCTTTATCTTACCATTTTGTCAGATTCTGGTCCATATTTGATCTGTATTTGTCCCAGTTCATACATATATATATATATATATATATATATATATATATATATATATGAGAAGACTTAGCTTTTAACAAGTTTCATTGAAGATAAATCTATTGAATTTATTAATATATATATATGTAATATGCATGGTACTTAGCAGAAAGTACTCAATATCTGTGATAGAGCTAACATATTCAGTTGTATGATCATACAATTGAATATGTATGTGTGTATACTAAAAATAATATTCAATGATGCATTTTGCCTTCAATGGCTCCTTCAGATGGATAACAAAAAATGTGTTGTGTGTGTTTAAAATAAATCTTATATTATTTTTTCCAAGCTGGCATTTCTTGAGACTAAAAGAGAAAAAAAATGAGTGACTTTTAAAAAAAAATCATTTAACATTTTTTATATTCTCTGCTTTTAAGCATCCCAGTTTTGAGATGGAAATTCTTCAGAATGGATAGAAAATAAATTAAAGAATTGTTCTTATTCATGTTGACAGTATGTAATAAATTTGTGTATGTAATCCCGACAGTGTCACAAGTTATTGACATTTGGAAAAAAGTTCATGAAAAATATGTCCCAAAGATAATATTTCATTATCTATTTAACGAAGCCGTTGATGGCGATGGCATTATCGGATATTATTTTCAGAACACATATTTCATGAACATTTTTTCAAATTTCAATAACTTATAACACTGTCAGGATTATATACCCAAATGATTATATTTTATATTGTGTGTGTGTAAAATTAAGCTAAAAAATGTATCTGTAAAATGGCAACATGAATGAAGACAAAATTTTTCTTAGCCAACGTGTTTCATCCTTTCATTTATTAGTCATTTAATCACATCAGTTAACATCCTTCATAGTTTACCTTGATTTTCAGTCAGCCTGATATATATATATATATATATATATATATATATCTTGTGCTTTCTTCATGATCTCTTCTTGATGTCAAATGCCTTCTGCTCCTGTCAAAATGTTTTCTCTCCAGCCACTGACCTGAGCCCTATATATTTTTAAAATTAGGCTAACAAGGCCCCCATTCATGTTTTGTTACTAGAGCATGAGACTATGTCTCTCATTGGTCAGTATGTACAAAAAAATAAATTTCAATAAACTAGAGATGGATCCTTCACTATTTTGATGGATTTTAACCACTGAGCCCAAAAAGATATACAAATGTAACATTTTTTTACACAAACCATCTGGCCTTCATAAAAATACACTTCTTTTAAAAGAACATGCATTAAAAAAGGAACATCATAGACAATTTAACATTTATTCAAGGCGAACATTTTAAAAGTAGTAAAAATAAAATTTTTATAGCATTTCTGTCTGTAATAAAAATCAAATGCTGCAATTTATGTCAGTACATTGTTTAGTCTGCGACCTGAGAAGTATATTAATCTCAAAAGTTTTTACTGCCTCGTGAGAGTGTGAAAGTTTATAGTGTGAAGCACATATATAAGCTTTTTATTTAAAGAGAATGTTCACAAAAAAAAAATGGTGTTTCTCTTTTTTCCTTTTTTTTTTTCTTGTGAAGAATGTTTTCAACCAATGAATGATACTTGAGTAGACATTATTAGAAATTCAGAAAGTAAGGCAAGAGTGAGAAAAACTTTCAAACCAAACTGTTTTAAAACAATTATATTTAGTTATTTAACCAAAATTAGATTTATAACAATACATTTCATTAGTCTCTTGACAATTTGAATTCTCTGTCTCAGTTTCTTTTCTTTCTTTTTTTTTTTTGAGAGTGGGGCAAAAAGGTGAGGATGGGGTGTAGGTCATATATATATTTTTTCTAATACATTAAGAAATAAATGTATTTTTTTTTTTTTTTTTTTTTTTTTTTGGATACATTAAAAACAAATTGATTTGGGGGGAGGTGAGAGAACATTTTTCATTTTCAATTATATTGACGTTAGTGCAAAATAATTCCAATGTATGCTGGCTTTTTCTTCTTTTCCTTTCCTCTCCTGTGACTCCTTCTTTTCCTCTCTTACACGTCTTCCTCTATCTCTCTCTCCCGCATCTTCCTCTCTCTCTCCCGCATCTTCCTCTCTCTCTCCCGCATCTTCCTCTCTCTCTCCCGCATCTTCCTCTCTCTCTCTCTCACTTGCACACTCCCTCGCATCTTCCTCTCTCATGCTCTCTCGCATCTTCCTCTCTCATGCTCTCTCGCATCTTCCTCTCTCATGCTCTCCCATTTCTTCCTCTCTCATGCTCTCCCATTTCTTCCTCTCTCTTGCTCTCCCATTTCTTCCTCTCTCTTGCTCTCCCATTTCTTCCTCTCTCTTGCTCTCCCATTTCTTCCTCTCTCTTGCTCTCCCATTTCTTCCTCTCTCTTGCTCTCCCATTTCTTCCTCTCTCTTGCTCTCCCATTTCTTCCTCTCTCTTGCTCTCCCATTTCTTCCTCTCTCTTGCTCTCCCATTTCTTCCTCTCCTCTCTCCATTTCTTCCTCTCTCGTGCTCTCCCATTTCTTCCTCTCTCTCTTTCTCCTCCCTCTTGCTTTCTTCCTCTCTCTTGCTCTCCCATTTCTTCCTCTCTCTTGCTCTCCCATTTCTTCCTCTCTCTTGCTCTCCCATTTCTTCCTCTTCTCTCTCTTCTCCCATTTCTCTCTTGCTCTCCCATTTCTTCCTCTTGCTCTCCCATTTCTTCCTCTCTCTTGCTCTCCCATTCTTCCTCTCTCTTCTTGCATTTCTCCCATTTCTCCCCATTCTTCCTCTCTTGCTCTCCCATTTCTTCCTCTCTCTTGCTCTCCCATTTCTTCCCTCTCTCTCTTGCTCTCCCATTTCTTCCTCTCTTGCTCCCATTTCTTCCTCTTGCTCTCCCATTTCTTCCTTTCTCTTGCTCTCCCATTTCTTCCTTTCTCTCTCTTCTTTCTCCCATTTCTTCCTTTCTCTCTCTTGCTCTCCCATTTCTTCCTCTCTCTCTCTCTCCCATTTCTTCCTCTCTCTTGCTCTTTCTTCCTCTCTCTCTCTTGCTCTCCCATTTCTTCCTCTCTCTCTTGCTCTCCATTTCTTCTCTCTCTCTTGCTCTCATTTCTTCCTCTCTCTCTCTTGCTCTCCCATTTCTTCTCTCTCTCTCTCTTGCTCTCCCATTTCTTCCTCTCTCTCTCTTGCTCTCCCATTTCTTCTCTCTCTCTCTTGCTCTCCCATTTCTTCCTCTCTCTCTTGCTCTCCCATTCTTCCTCTCTCTCTCTTGCTCTCCCATTTCTTCCTCTCTCTCTCTCTTGCTCTCCCATTTCTTCCTCTCTCTCTCTCTTGCTCTCCCATTTCTTCCTCTCTCTCTCTTGCTCTCCCATTTCTCTCTCTCTCTCTTGCTCTCCCATTTCTTCCTCTCTCTCTCTTGCTCTCCCATTTCTTCTCTCTCTCTCTCCCATTCTTCTCTCTTGCTCTCCATTTCTCTCTCTCTCTTGCTCTCCATTTCTTCTTCCTCTCTCTTCCTCTCTCTCCCATTTCTTCTCTCTCTCTCTCTCCCATTTCTTCCCTCTCTCTCTCTCCCATTCTTCTCTCTCTCTCTCTCCCATTTCTTCCTCTCTCTCTCTCTCCCCTTTTTTCCTCTCTCTCTCTTCTCTCCCATTTTTTCTTCTCTCTCTTGCTCTCCCATTTTTTCTCTCTCTCTCTTGCTCTCCCATTTTTCCTCTCTCTCTCTCTTGCTCTCCCATTTTTCCTTCTCTCTCTCTCCCATTTTTCCTCTCTCTCTTGCTCTCCCATTTTTTCCTCTCTCTCTCTCTTGCTCTCCCTCTCTCTTTTCTTTTTTCTCTCTCTCTCTTGCTCTCCCATTTCTTCCTCTCTCTCGCTGACCTGTCTCTCGCTCACCCGCGTCTCCTTCTCTCTCTCGCTCTCCTTCTCTCTCTCGCTCTCCTGCATCTTCCTCCCTCTCGCTCCTCCTCCTGTTTCTCTTCTTACTTTCCTTCTGCTTTTTCTTTTGCTTTTTCTTTCATTGTTTTCATGCTTTCTTTCTCTTTTTCT